GCCAGACTGGTTTATGAATATTGATAGTCTGGCTGGCTGAGCGCTGGGTCAGCTGTAGGGCTGTATGCGTTCAGCCTTACAAACTGTCTGAATGTGTTTAACACCTCATTACAGAGACAGTGTGAAGCTGCAGTCACCCAGCACTGGTGGCTCTGCACTGCTGCCAAGCACACACTTAGCTCAAGTGTTGTTGGTGCACACTGGCAGAGATTTGGCTTGAGTGAATATCCATGCAGGTAGAGTTTGGAATTCTTCAGCGTTGGCTTGTAGGAGGCATACATTATAAAGGATCAGCCATGTTCCTCATCAGAATACAAGGCAACCACATATGGGCTTCCTCAGGACGGACATATTTATACCAACTGTGCTCATTTCCAGCACAATGTATTTGTCTACAGATGGTACTAGAGCTGTTTTGCATGATTTGCAGTTCAGTAATAACCTTTCTTACATCGTACTACGTCTTGGTGCAGTCCCTCATCCTCTGAAACAAGCTGTTCGCTCCTACTTTCCTATTAAGCCTACTTTCTTCTGCTTGGCTGCCCCTTGCAGAAAGAAGATTTGAACACCAGGTAGAGTGACGGTTTCTGTGCCCACAGGTGTCTTTATGTTTCTGATGTGACTATATTAGGAATATTCTTTCTCAATGATGTCATACAGAGGCAGGTGTAGACGGGGGGTCGACTGCATGTCGCACAAAACAAGACCAAACACATCAGAAGTTGAATTGCTCACGGCAGCCTCCACAGTGCTGAAGATCACTGGGAGCGAGACTGTGACGTCACCCATCAGTCTCTCGTATTCGCTCATATCCGCTTGCTGCACGTCGCATACTTTCTAATCATAAGGAAAACAATAAAAGGAACAAATCCAAATGCAGGCTCATGCTTTTCCTCCTCCACACGCACTCGAACTTACAGCCATGTAATTTGACATCAGTGTTTTTCACACACTCAAGAACACAGGCCAAGTAATGGGATTTTAAAGATAGCATTTTGTTACGCTGCCTAACTGAGAGGGAAAACATACATTATGTTCTACAAAGGCTTTAACCTTATATTTATATCTGATTCATGATTCCTGCTTTCTCCTTTTTAAAGCTCTGGGACTGATGTGAGGTAGGAAAGGGTTTTGAATTTTTGTAGCATTTAGCAGCCAGCCCCACTTTGCTGACATTGCTGTGCTTTTTCTTCTTTAGGTCTAAATCTGTTGGTGTTATTGATCTTGGCCTACCGATTCAAACCCAGTTCCACCATCTCTTGGTCAGAACCCCGATGTTTACCTTGATCCATGAATGGGATCTCTGTGTTGTTCTCGTAGGTTTTGGACCGTTCCATCATCAGCTGGGTTTTGAGGTGTCACCCTTGTCTCCGACTCCCCCACTATGAGCTGTGTTTGATAAAACCTCCCTCTGATACTGTCAGAGCTGTTGATTCTGGTGCTCCCCTAACAGACACGGACCATTTGAGACCAGAACACACACATGCAAAAACACACTGCAAGATTGATGCAAAACACTTCAGTCCATCATACACATACTGTACCCTTCATGCCATACAGTGTGCACATTATTCTGGCAGCTGTTGACAATGAAGGGGATTTATGTTGAGTGGACCTTTTTGTTTCAGTGCCTTTATGCCTCTACTTGCTATTAAGCAAGCTTTACAAGAGCCACGCTTGGTCTTTGTCTGGGTGTCTCATATTTGAAGAGCTTCTACTGCCAAACATATTTTTGCTTTAAACCTTATCAAACCGCAACTTGTGTTCACACCGTCCACCTGCCAGGTGGGGTGACAGTACCACATCATCCTGACACAGAAAAATGCAGAATTGAACAGATCAGCTCCATCAACGCTGTTACGGGTCCTAATCTGGCTTCAGATGGATATCCTTACAGTTACCACTGGTCTCTGTGTTGTGGGCTGAGAGACGAGTGTGCAGCAGTCCTCTACAAAGCCTCACTGCTCTCCTGTTGGTTACACAGTGAAACTTATGTCTTTGGGTAAATAATGCATATAAATATAATTTGGGGAATTTTTATTGTGTACCGCATTCTTCGGACCATAAGGCGCACCAGATTAAAAGGCGCATTAAGTGAAACAAAAACAGTCAGATAAGTCAAACTTTCCTCAACTCATTCTTCTTGCTACTCCACTTCTGTACCATTGATTCATTAATGCTGCGTTCTCTGGCAGCTGCTCTATTCCCATGTTGTTGCAGTATATTAATGACTAACCTCGTATTGTGGATGGATTATCTCAGTTGTTCCCCTGACTGAAGTTTGGTCCGTTTACAGCATCCTGCCATGCGATTGCATTTGTCTCTAACCATCAGGAACCCTCACGTTAACTTTTATCGAGTAGAAAAAAGTTAGCGTTCATCCTCCAGCTTCACTGTGTTTATGCTAACATAGCTGTGTCGCTAGCGATCACGTAGCACATCATTATATACCAGCTAGCCCAACGTCAGTAACCCTACAAACGTCACTGCTGTTTAGTTTTGTCTTCATTTATGTTGGAAGTGATAGCAGAGCTGTACGTTTGAATTTTTTCAGAAACCTCTCAGTCAGAACATGCTATATCATGTTTAGGTGGAAGCTAGCGAGCTAACTTCCTGCTAACTTCTAACTCCGTTAGATGTAATAAATTCTGTTTTCATGGATGCCTGGATGTTAAACTTAATTGTTACACCTGGTAAAGCAGCAACACTGATCATTTTATTAAAAATGAAAAAATTTAGACAGTTTGTAACTCTCAGTGATGCTGCAGTGTTCGCTTGACTTGGGACCTCAAACAGACGAAGTTTAGGACCCAGATTCCTCTGCGAGGCTCCTGACTACGGTAGCTGTAATGCTCCAACAATCCATCAAGCGGTGCGGCTTCGTAGCTTAGCAAAGTCGTGCTAAAACATTTTTGACAGAGTTTTGAGCACCATGTAGCACAGAAAATCGGTTTGAGGTCAGTAAGCACGACCAGAATTCATACATGAGGCGCACTGATGATTTTTGAGAAAATTAAAGTATTTTTAGTGCAGAAAATACACTCTTTAATTGTGCTTTGTAACCACAATCACTTCGCACACTTCATTTAAGAGAGCCCCACAAAAGCACCGGATTGTGAAACCTAAATGTTAGGTGTGGCTACTGTGCCACTACAACAAAATTTACCACAAGAAAAAAAAAAGCTTGTATGGATGTGTCTGAAGGCCTGCTGACGACCTTGAAAACATCTCTCTTCTTTTACTGTAAACAGGTAAATCTAATCTTTGACCTCAGAGGCCTCAACATTTATTTCTCCTTAATTCCTTTTTCAGTTAGGCCGCTTATCCATTAAGTGCTCGTATATCAACGAGCTGCATCTGAGTGCATCCTGAGTGAGTGGACTGCCATAGTCATGTGCGCTTCATCTCTTCACCACAGAAGTGTTTAAAAAAGAAATTTGAGTGGTTGCTGTGGCACCCAAGTGGAAACAAAACAGATGTAAGCCGATGTAGGCAGTGTGTATGTGATAGAGGGGCCTCTGAGATATAAGCTAGACGTGTGGCATGATGCTCCTCTGCTGTTCAGTGATATAGGTTAAATAAACTCCCCGGGACAACTGATGGCTTGCTGTGACATCACTCAACTGTTGGAGGAGACACGAGTGCTGGAGGTTCAAAGTGGCCTTGAAACTTTTTCTTTTTTCTAAATGTAAGATTTGATTGTATCATCATGAAATAAAGTGCTGTGGCTAAAAGGAGGGGACTGTTCAAGGCCAAATATAGAAGAGAGAGAGAGATCATGGGAGAATGTAATGGGCTTTCTAATGTCCTGTCTTTGCCCCATTTCATCCAGATGTTTCAGTAACGTGTTTGCTGTTTCTTGCCACCCGCATCTCATCTCCTGTCTTTCCACACACTTTACATATTAGCGCACATGCCTGTTATCAGGGAAGACTGCCCACTCTGTGTCCAGATGAATAATAGTCTGAAGGGGAGAATAGTACTGTGTCATGGCGAAAGAATGCAGACTTCTTCTGTAGGTAATATTTCTATCTCCTATAAACATGGAGACTGTGCACATGTGTCAGAGTTAAATGCGACGGTGCCGGCCCACCATACGCTACGTGTAAGGTTACGTGTGGCTCAGTACAACGTGGTAGGTTGTCAGGAGTTAATGACACAGCATGTGGCTCCCTTGTCTTGCAGCTGAGATATCAACATGGACTGACCACCCCAGACCTGCAGCAGACACTACCCAACCTGAAGAACTTCCTGGAACATGGGCTGATGGTGCGATGGTAAGAATGACGCAGACACTTTCTACAGTGGGTTCTAAAGATAATTCAGAAATCTGCTCTGTGTTTGCAAGAGACACATGCAGCTTCACATCTAGCTAATCACAAGCTGTGATTAGCTAGATTCAAAGTATAGGCCATGCTCCAAGTTAATAGTTTGTAAAGTTTACTAAGCAGGGCAAATGGACATGGACAGTCTCAAACACGCCAACTTTGGAGTCGACATTTTTGCTGGAGATCTGCTAACAACGCACACATTTCTAAACACACAAGCTGCCAATTTACATAAGTAATGACCAGCACGTTTTTCAAAAGCTGAACTATTAGAAAAAGGACAAAGTCTTCAGTCTGACACTTTTCAACACTCACTTACAAACACTTTTGTCCCTCCATCCATCCATCCATTCGCTTCCGCTTATCCTTTTCAGGGTCGCGGGGGGCGCTGGAGCCTATCCCAGCTGTCATAGGGCGAGAGGTCGCCAGTCTGTCGCAGGGCCAACACACAGGGACAGACAACCATTCGCACTCACATTCACTCGCACATTCACACCTAGTGACAATTTGGATTATCCAATTAACCTATCCCCACAAGCTGGCATGTCTTTGGACGGTGGGAGGAAGCCGGAGTACCCGGAGGGAACCCACGCAAACACGGGGAGAACATGCAAACTCCACACAGAAAGACCCTGGCCTGATGTTGGAATTGAACTCAGGACCTTCTTGCTGTGCGGCAACAGTGCTAACCACCGTGCCACCGTGCTGCCTTTTTTGTCCCTGTTAGTGATTTTAACCATGAAATGGGCCAAAGTAGGCTAATAGCACTGCTGCCAAAACAGACTACTTTTGAATTAGTCAGCTACTCAGCAATAGTGCCATTCATGTTTTGTATCTTAAACCAGCGTCCCCAACCCCCAGGCCATGGACCGGTATCGCTCCGCGAGTCGTTTGGTACTGGGCTCGGGTGTGACATTTATGGTTTTCAGGGTTTTTATCGTTAACTTAATTTCCCTGGCTCTTTTCCCGCATGTTATGAATAAATCGTCTTTTTTTTTTTTTGGTACCGGTTTTATTTTGTTGTATTTATCCGCGACACCTTACAGGCCGGTCCGTGGCACAAAAATGGTTGGGGGCCGCTGCCTTAAACAACAGATTAATACAGAATATACAGCGCAGTAGTCGGCACATTAGTAGGAAATGGAAAATAAAGATTTGATGCAGCCATTCGTTGCGTTTGTCACATAGACTGTTATTTACAAAATACTTTGAAAGTGCTGCTAAAAGAATACTTTGTTTTAAGTTATGATGATGTAGCGTCCCTGCACATCATCATTCCCCTACATCTAAAAAAAGGAGTGGGTAATGAGTTTTACAGCAGCTACTTTGTCCACTGGAATGCTTAGATCTCTGCTCCAGTCTTATGGCCTGTGAGTAACCCTTTACTAAAACCTGAGAGTTGGTCTCCATCAGACTTCAGCTCCACTTCCCTATAAAAGACAAAGCTGTCTTTGATCTCCTCTCCCAGGGTCAGCAAAGGGGAAAATGTGTATTACACACATTAATTGAATAATCTTTTGTTTTGAAAGGAAAGACGCCATGAAAAGCTCGAGCTCTCAACTCTGTCCCACTCCCAAAAAATCTTCACGGGAAGTGGAAGAGCCCAAAGACAGATGAGATGAAAGCGTGGGTCTGCTAACCCTGGAGCTGTGTGTGCGCGAGCGCATGGGAGGTTTTAAAGAAAGTGGAAGTCTTCTGCAGCGGTTTTCCACAGCCACGCTCTTGTGTGACAACGAGACCACAGTGACAGAGAGGAGTTGCTCTGTACTGACTCAGAAGCCATCAGCTGAGTGAAAGAAACTGCCGTTCCCATCATTTTGAGCAGCACTGAGCCACAAACACATGTTACAGATTTATCTGTCATTAGCACTGTCAGAAGATATAGAGCTTCAGCTATGTTGCCACAGCGATTAGACGGTTCGGCATTTGGAGAAAATGCGTACGAACTAGATTGATGTTCACTTTCGTTTCTGTAGAGTAAATATGAAGCAGCCAGCAGCTGATTAGTTTATTTTAGCACAAAGACTGGAAGCGCACTCTGTCTGCCTACAGGCACCTCTGAAGACTAATAATTGATGGCGTGCCACAACGCTAAGTCGTCTTTAAACCTCTCGTACATATTGAGCAAAACTATTGTAGTTACGTTTTGATATTTTGCCATTTAGCTACTCAATACAGCAGAGTACAACAGGAAATTGTAACCAATATTAGACATAAATATGTACATATTTAAATGAAACCTACAATGGTATGCTGTCCATGTTTATGTTCTGGGACTCAACTCCACTGGATTTATGTTGGTGTGAGTTCCAAGCCTTACAGGTCATGGTTATCTACGAGTTTCAGAGACGAGTTTGATGCTGTTTCATCCGAGAAGCTTCTTCAGTTCAAAGACCAAATCAGAAACACATTTACACTGGATCCAGATGAAACCATAGAGCCCTTTGTTGTGGTCTCACTCTTCACTTGCGGTCCCAAAACTGAGACAGTGGAGACGGTCAGAAAATGACCACAGCAAGACAGCGCCTTAGAAAACAGAATTAGCTTTACCCCCCATCACTGTCAGACCTCTGCCTTACAACCAAATATTTTAAATATTCAGTTTAAATTTTTCAATTCAATTTTATTTACACAGCGCCAAATCACAACAACAGTCGCCTCAAGGAGCTTTATATTGTAAGGTAGACCCTACAATAATACATACAGAGAAAAACCCAACAATCATATGACCCCCTATGAGCAGCACTTTGGCGACAGTGGGAAGGAAAAACTCCCTTTTAACAGGAAGAAACCTCCTGCAGAACCAGGCTCAGGGAGGGGCGGGGCCATCTGCTGTGATTGGTTGGGATGAGAGAAGGAAGACAGGATAAAGACATGCAGTGGAAATACAATAAAGGTTTCTACAGACAAAAACATGGACACAGGCCACAGGCTCCCCAGTGTCACCCACTGTGGCAAACCTTGTGGAAGTGGAAAGTGAGGCTCTTTGCTCTTTTTGAAGGGACAGTACCTAACCACTGGTACAAATACGTTGATGACAAATCAAAACCCAAGAAATAGAATCCGTCACTGTTCACATCAACTCAGTAAATAGAAACATAAAATTCACCATACAAAGAATAATAGTTTGCCATTTCTGCACTGTGCTGTGTACACTGAGGAGAATGGAAACCTCAATGCTGAAGTTTATCGGAAGCCCACACACGCAGACCAATATCGACTCTTTGACTCCCACCACCCTCCGGAACACAAACTTGGAGTAATCAGGACTCTGCATCACCGGGCAGAAAACGTCCCCTCTGAGGCAGAAGGGAAAGAAAAGGAACGCATGTAAAGAAAGCTCTTTAAACATGTGGTTGTCCCAACTGGGCTTTCATCCAATCAGCAGAGATGCACAGTAAAGAAGGTCAGACACCAGCTAGGGTGAGCAGAATGGACAGATAAACATTGGGTCAGTCTTTCGAGGATGCCAATGTTCACATTTTGGACAGAGAAACCAAATAAAAGAAGTCGATTCTGTTCGTCTAACGTAGTGTTTGTGTTTGCATAGTTGAAGCTAGCACCGCTGGTGAACAGCGGGCTGTGAGGTCAGTTTAATGGTCAGAAACTGTCTCACAGTGGTGTCCCCTGAAACCTCTGCTGATAATGACCACACCCGTTTTCACACATTGCCTTATATGATGAGGAACATGATCAATAGTGGGTCAGGGACCCTCTTAAGGAGCAACTCCCATCAGGGCTTAAATACCTCGGACTCTCCACCGAGCTCTTAGAACTGAAGAAGCTTCTCAGATGGGAGCTGAAACGTCTTCGAGAAACCTGAAGAAGTCCACTGTAAGCTCCTTAGATTTCCATCTTTTTAGTTTATTAGTTTCTACTTTTTAGTTTCTTTCTTTGGATTTTCTGCCTCTGCTCTGACTTTCACAAATAGAAACCAGTCCCTGTGAGCACCACAGCCTCCTCTTCTAATTGTGGAATGAATAAAAACAAATTGTAGGCCTCCCAAAAAAATCGTTCCTAAAACTAGATTCATTCTTTAATCGTTCCATTAGGTGTTCCACCTAAATTAAGCGCCCCTGGCTAAATAAATGGTTGCTTCTGTAACCTACTGTTACCCAAACCTGCAGTAAGTCACAGGAAAAATGAAAATCTTAAAACAGCAAAAAGCAGCTTAGTAACAAAGTATATGCCCACTGTCTCAAAGTGTAGTCATAAGACAAACGTTCCAGTATTTCACTGATGTAATGTTACTTGTATAACTTCTATAAATGGAACATTCCGTCTTTTTTGGATTCGCCCAGATGAAAGTCCGGCCTGACACAGGGCTCTGATGAAAGAATCCTCTGTAAAGTGGTGTGAATGAACAAATCTGTCAACTTCTGACTGCTGCTTGAAAAAAGAAACTATCCACCTTTATTGCTCCTTGATCGTAATGTGCGTACATGTATGTTTTCAACATTTTATTTGTTCATTTGTGTTACTTAATAAGTTGACCCACACATTTTGTCATAAAAGTACAGCTTTGTTGGACGCACTGTTGCTTTCTGTCCGTGTCAGTTCCGGTTCTTCTTCCTGCCGGGTTTAAAAAGGCTGAATTCAGAAGGAATGCCTGGAGCTGGGACTCGGCTTATGAAATATGGATGTTTTTAAGAGGCTACGTGACAGCTGCAGGTAATTTTGCTATATAGCCCGTGAGAGGCAGGCTAATCAGCTGCCTATCCTCCTCTTTGCCACCTTTTTCTTCCTTCCACACATCCAAACAAGAATGATGTGGTGAAGGCTATGACAGAGGGAACTGTTTCCAGAACGGATTTGGAAACATTTGCCTCCTACATATAGAAATAATTCATACCCACACCACGGGTGCATAGTGGGTTCATCTTGGATATTTTATACAGACCGAATGGAAAAGCAGAAAGAATGCGTGTAAGAATCGAAAAGAGCGTATG